TTAACATGGGTAGGCATTATATTTGTCAATACCTTTATACCGATATAAAATTTTGACAAATAGAATGCCTACCCATGTTAAAATGAGCATAGAACATGGCCTGATAGTATTATTTCGATTCTAGTAGGAAAATTTAGAACTTTTGAACTTCGAAGCGGACCTATAATACATGTTTGAACAGCAGCCATTTTGATTTGATGAAGCCAACTTAGCGTGATAGAAAATCTACTGTTTCACAATAAAAAATTTACAGATACATGTAAACTTACTATTAGAATGATTTTCTTTAATTTCCTAGCGAGCAACACCAATACAAATGTCCATTTTGATCTCCAGCGTTGTTTAAAATACAAGTGACGTTGCAATTTCAATTGTGACATCAGACATGTGCAGCCCATGTTCTATTGGAATTAGAACATGTTCACCAAACAGGGTGTGAGCCAAAGCGAAAGAACAACATTATATTAGAATATGCAACACTGAACTCCAAATTTTGCAACACTTGACCTTCTGACATCATACAAATTGATACAACAACAGTCATTTACAAATGTACTGTAAACTTTTGAAGTTACTGGCCTGACCTCCACAATTAATCACGTTTTAGAATAATTGAAAAAATATTCTGAAAATATATTATGTCAATGTAACTGCCGACAAAATAATGACATGGGGCCGCAATTAAAAATATCTTTGTTTCCCCTTACCCTACCCACCATTTTGGAAGTGGGTAGGTAGGTAGGCTTTTTTTTTTTTTTTTTAGAGAAAATCCCTGAAATATATCTAACACACAGGAAAACACAGAAAAACAACAAATTGAACTTTATTGATACTAAAACAACATACTGTATAATGTATTATGCATGACTAGAAGACCTTACAATTTCAGACTAGAAAATGTTTGTAAATATCAATGTCTTTGTGACTTAAGAGTAGACCACATATAAATTGAGACACGGTTCTATATTTTTCTTATAGTTTTATTAATTCAATTGAAAATATAAAACCCCAACGAAACTGCTACCTAGTAACATTCGATGCAAAAAATATGTACACTTGTTTTTCATTTAAGGAAATACTAGAAGCCACAAACCGTGATCCAAGCGAGTATGACTACGCCTATTCAGGCTTCTTCTAGAAAACTATGAATTTATTTTTAACAATAAACTTTACTTTTGAAACCTTGGGCATGCCTTTGTGCAGATCAGCATTCACTGAGTTAAACGTTAGCAGACCTTACAATGTTTGTTAATTCTTGAACACATTTTACAATGCTTTCAACACAGAGAAACAAAATGATAATGATAGTTGAAGTCCACCTACAAATTTTCCTGTAATGAAACAATATTCTTAGACACTGTCATAATTATACAAAGGAGAAAGATTCTTTATCGAAGGCATAGTATGATACAAGACATTAAAACCAATATCAAACCAACTGAAACATATCAATATCTGCACAGACACAGCTCACACCCAAAAAGTGTTTTCATTGAAAGGATTTATCAAGGGTGAAGTATTGAGGTATCTCAGAAACACAATCAGCAAAACTGATCTTAAAAAAATGCTCAAAAGAGGATATCAAATATCTGAAATCAACTATTTTTTTTATCAAACACAAAATACAGAAAGGGAAAACTTGCTAACACATCGCCCAGCGAAAGTGGAGCAGCCGCTAGTAATGTTAACAAAATTCAACCCATCTATACAGAAACTAAAAATATAATAATGAAATACTGGCATCTTATTTCACAAAACCCTGAATGTGTGACCATATTTAATCATCAGCCCATTATAGCTTATAAAAGACATAAGAACTTACAAGAACTTTTATCAAAACATTAGCTGGTATAGTCATCTCGACTTTTCACAACACAATATGATACTGAGCTCGAAAAAAAATCAACTACTATTTTATCCAAAGACAACTGGTGTATGGTCCAATATCACTTACGAAATGAAACAAAATAGCATAAATAGCACGCCAATATACAACTTATTGAGTCGACCACTGATGAAGGCGAACTCAGGGATTTACCACAAACACGGCAGAAACACCGGGCCTAACATTTAAGCTCAAGGGTGAGCTCAGATGCGCAATCGTAACTACTCGGCCATTCTCGCTACGCATTTTGTTATTGGAGGCGTAGCTAGAATGGAAGAGTAGTTATAATTGCTCGGATGCATTTATTTAAAACATTCCATTCCAATTTCAGTATCCTTGCATACGTTGTTTACCCATTGCTGCAAACACACGGGCGACAATGATTTCGCGGAATGTTGAAATTACGGACCATTCAAGGAAACGAAATTAAAAAACGAACTTTTGAGCGAAACAAAAAAAAAAAAAAACAACAACGTGATTTTCGAAAAAAATTATTTCAGTCGGCGTATTTTTAGAGGGTCGGTCGGGTAAGGGGAAACAAACTTAATTTTAATTTTGGCCTTGGGAGAAAATAATGTAAACTCAATTTTTGAAGAAACACACAAGATCAAAGGAAGCAAGTTTTGAAAATAAATTCACTTAAAGACTTTCATGTTTTAATATCTGCACCTGAACCGTTTTTACCCATTGCAAACTTAGTATATTGTACTATAGCTTACAATGGAGTTTACTTAACAAAATTTTTATTTTCATAATTGAACTACATTGTACCAAAGTTTGTTTTAAAACAAACATGAAGGTGAAAGACCAAATCAGCACTACAACATGTACAATAAACAGTACATGTATGTAAAATTTATCATTATTTAACTAGCTGGGATGAACCCATGACCACTAACACAGTAAGCAACCACTTTACCAACTGAGCTGGAGGAGTCAAGTACTTCACTAGTAATCACAATTAATGGAGGGAGGTTATAAATTTGCAATGTGAATAAAGAACTACTACACTTCCCCCACCACTAGAGTCTTTATATCATAATGACCATATATATATCAAACAGTAAACTATAACCAATACTCAACTCATTTAACCAGCCTTTTATTCCTTGGGTTTTAAAGTTGGACTGCCAAGACTCTTTAATGCTAATTTATGCTATATTAAATAAGTGTACAATAAAATCTTTAAAACTTGAATCCTATGAGCATGATGAGGCTATGACAACGTAGAAAAAGTTAAAATCAATATATGTTTTGAGTCTGCTACATGTAGGCCTAACATTTAATTATCAAATTAATACATGTATAATAAATTTGAGAATGGAAATGGGGAATGTGTCAAAGAGACAACAACCCAACCAAAGAGCAGAAAACAGCCCAAGGCCACCAATCATGGGTCTTCAACGCAGCGAGAAAATCCCTCACCCAGAGGCGGTCTTCAGCTGGCCCCTAAACAAACTTGAGTGAAAATGGACGTCATATAACATAACATTTCATTGCATATAAGATAATACCCAGGAAAGAAAGGGGTAGAAATTTGATTGGTTAACTTCCAGTGATTGTTATTATCTTATATGCAATGAAATGTTAAGTGAAATTTTGTCTGTAGTACTGGACAGGATAAAACTTTACTCATGCCAAGTATTTCTTAATTTGAAACAAAGATATATATATATAGATTCTACCACTGCATCGAGTGTGATACGATATTTATCCACTCGAGACAGTTAAATTTTCAAATTTAAAACGCGAGGCTCGCCGAGCGTTTTAAATATTTAAAATTTAACTGTCGAGAGTTGATAAATATCGTATTACACGAGATTTGGTGGTGGAATCTGTTTCTCTAATGATTTTCAAACAATACGCAGGCAAATTTATTCCTTCTTTTCGAATGATCTGCAAAAAGATGTGTTCTTTCTATGTGACGTCATCAGGCATGGTCGCCTTTTTTCATGCCGTCACGATAGGAAATTCAGAGGAAAGCAAGAAAATTCGACGTCATAATCGGATTTTAACCAATGAAGAACTGAGATCAAACGAACCACACGTTGATTAAATTTTTTTTATACAATGGGTGCAGAAAGGGATAAATTGACGAAGAATTAGAGAAATATATATATCACTTCCATATTCTTCTTCAATACACTATGTAATCATGTATACATGTATGTTGAATATAACGCATTATTATAGATATATACATGTTTAGGTGTAATACCACAAAATCATAGTACGTCACATCCGGTTGCATAAGAAAAAGGGTCGAAAAAAATATTTCCTTAAATTTGACAGTTGCAGAAAATTATTCCTACATTTCATTGCAGTTAAAAATTTCTTGGGTGTTTCAAAGCCCTAGTACTATTCTTTTTTTATTTGGTGTTTCTATAAAATATTTTGGGAACTTGAGGTTACATGGTTACTAAAGCTTGTAAACAGGAAAGAAAGGGGTGGAAATTTGATTGGTTACATTTTGTAACTTCCAGTGATGGTTATTATCTTATATGCAATGAAATGTTATGTGAAATTTTGTCGGTAGTACTGGACAGGATAAAACTTTACTCGTGCCCAGTATTTCTTAATTTGAAACAAAGATAAATTCTGCACAATTTTTTGAAAAGTGTAAATTTAACAATGACTAATAGGGGAAAAACAATGGTGGTATTACACCTTTCTCATGTTTATGTTTTTAAAAATAAAACAAACATGTCAAAGGAATCCATGGTGCCTTTGGTGGACATACCCTTAGTAAAGGAAACCCAAAGTGCACATTTTATTGGGCTATCAGACCTCAGTATCAGACCCATTACTTTAAAATAATACGTTGGGATTCACAAGACATAAGGATTATTTTTTCATTAATGTAAATGATACATGTACTGAATGTGATCTCTAAACAACTGTAGTTGTCTAACTCAGTTAATTGTCTATACTAGACCCTGATATCATGGCCTGCTGCAATCTTTATCAATTGTAATTTTGTGACTATAAACGCGAATTTGTATCTATATATACAGAATACAAATCCTTACTATAACTATAAATGACTTGAGAAGTTAGTCACCGTTTTCACTTTCAACATGCTCAAGCTGATTAAAAATTATAGCCAGACTTTTACCTAAATATAGGAGAATCCTTCAGACATTCCTTGAAATCAACACTTGGTTTGGAAGGCATTTTGGTTACTGATTAAATTTCCGTTATATTGATCAGTTGGGGTGATTAGTCAATCATCTTCATCATTCAAGTTAACTCAACCACGAAATCCTCCTACTATTAATATTGCTTCCCCTTGGACGAAATATTAGATGGCGCTGCTGAAAATAACGAAAATATTATTTTTTTGTTTTTTGTAAATTAGCTGTTGGTTTAAAAAATTAAAACTAAAAAAAAAAAGTATAATGAAATTTATTTATTTTGCTATCTTCTTTTTGTAAATATTTCCTACTTCCTGTGACCTTGCCCTACTTTCAACGTGCAGACTATCACAGACGTGCAGTATTTACGTGGAAAAGCTGCTTAAAATATGTAAGAACTAAGTTTGCAACGGTATTCCCTTAATTTCTATTTACTATAAGCTACAAAAGATAATGCGACGACATCGTATTTAGCTGTCAAACATGCTAAAACTGCAAAATTAGTTGACCTTGAATGACAAATAAATGCAACCTTGCATGTTCAGTGTCCTTGTCCCATTCATCATTTCCTGTTCAAAGACAAAGACATTTAATTGTTAGGCTGTTATTCTATCCATCTGACGTGTAGTTGGTAAGTGCTCACAATAATAAAAAAATCACTTATGTCCGGAAAAATATGCATTCTCATGTTTTGTTTTTTTGAAGTGATTTAAGCCAAAATTTAAGGTTGGCTGCTAGTGCTAATAGTAATACACCTTATTGGAAATCTGGGCTGGTTTACCTGAGAATCTGCGCCGCTTGAACTTTTGACGTCATACAACAATCACTTTTCCATTGTGGAGTCAGATATTTTCTATTGTGACGTCAAAATTTTACGGGAACCTTTGTGATGTCCAGTAATGGCGAACAAATAGCGATAAGGTGTATGCTATACCCTAGTCCAAATAATAAATAGACCTTATCGCTGTTTTGGAACCTGGGACACTTGAACTCTACACCTAATCGCAATTTATTCCATTCCGGATAAGTTCTAAAATTACACAACTTTTTCATCCAGTTGAAGCTATCTGGGGCCCTGTTTAAACAATGCACCATGCATGAAGCTTTTTAATGAGATCTGTTTAAAACATCGTAAATACTTCAAACAAAATATTTTTTGACTAAAATTTGAGTTTCGAATAAGTGGATCATATTCTATCAAAGTTTCGTATTGATCGCTTTCTAAATTTTTCACTCCCTCAGCTCGTTACTGATGACCTTTGTTGTTTACCTGTTCAAGGCCTGTTGACCCAAACAGGAAGTTTTCTAAATGACTGTTTTTTCCGGATTGGACTAAAAAGCGATAAGGTGTATTGACTTTATACAACAATCACTTTTCCTTTGTGGCCTCTGACATTTGCTATTATGAGGCCAAAATTTTACATATGAACCGTTGACGTTGCGATGTCCAGTAATGCCTAATGGCGGATAAATAGCGATGAGGTGTATTATGACGTCTTGAAAGGCTATTTTGAATTTTTTCTGTGACACCTTCCTACGATGTCATAATGATGAAGCTATTTATTTTGTCTGGACTTTGAGAGAGAATTTTCGGCAGAACTTTGAAACCCAATTTTGCAATGTCAATGATACACTCGTCATTGATGGGCTAGAAATTTTTGCATAGATACACAGTCTTACCTTTTCAGTCTTCAAATTTAGCCAGTAAAATCAGCCACAGAATTGTCAAATTTTGTTCTTCAGAAGCACCACGGGCTTGTAGATTTTTCGATAATTGGTGCGCTCTTTTTGTCTTTGGCAATTAGTGACACCAAATATTCCGATTCTATTGAGCGCTATTTCACTAACCTGAATAGTTAAGGTGTTATAATCCACTGATCTACGATTACTTCATTAAGTAAGTAGGAGAGATCGATTACGGAGAGGGACTGAATTATTCGGGTTATTTTTTCACATGAATATTCAATAAACGTATTGCTTTTATTATTGGATCTAGACATTGATTTTAATGACAGGCAAAAATGTTCCTACGGCCTTGTACTGGTGGGGCCCATCCGGGGAAGGTGTTGCATATAATTTTTCCAAATTTTTCCGGGGGGGAGGGGGGTATGACTCGCCTTGTCAGTTTGCAGTGCTTTTTGCTGCTTACCAGTGATAGTAATTTGTGTGGACTTGTAGATTTTTCAAAGGACTTGTAAAACCTCATCAATTAGATTTTTCAAAGGACTTGTAAAATGTCATCAACCACAATTCCAACTGGCTTGTAGGTTTAAAAGTTAAGTGTGAGGACTGCCTTTTGTGTGCTTGTTGTTGCTTAATATTTCCAAAAATATCTTAAAGTAATGATAAAATATTAAAGTTACAATTCCATTTGAGGTGTGCAATGATTTGTGAAATGGTTTCCCTGATTTCCCAAGAACCATCACTTTAAAGTATAAGAGTATAAAATACCAAACTCCATAAAATTTAATGGACCCTAATTTCCGGAACGTTCATTTTATATTATCTGGAAATTCGGGACAGCCAAATTTTACAGAGTTTGATATTTTATACTCTCCGGAAGTGAAGAATCTTGGGAAATCAGGGAAACCATTTTGAAATAGAAGTAGATCATCACATTCTTTTTCAACAGGTGTTTACATAAGATTGTCTTTGATCATCATGATAAATAATTAGTGATACATTGTTGTAGTTTATGAAAAATTATCTAAAATGTTTTAAAAACAATTGACAGGAATCATACATTAATGAGCTTGGTTGTGCATAAAGCTGGGATTTAGACTTTGTGGTCAACTGAAAACTACTCAATTGGCATCTTTAATCCTTTTGTATTTTCTCTTGCAGAAAACAATTGAAATATGAATTAAAAGAAAATGAAAAGAAGTCTAAATGTTCTTATATTTCTTGTATACGAAAAAGTAAAATTTTGTCAACATTAAATCATCAATATCAATCCCCTACCCACATGACCCATATGTGTAAATGCTCTTTTGTTCCGACGTTGTAAAGTTCCGGGCGGAAAGAACTGACTAGCTGAAAAGTTCCGGAGGAACTTATTAACTAGTTACTTTGTTCTTCCTCTGGTTTAAAAGTTCCAACGGAACATATCAACTAGTTAGAAAGTTCCTTTTTGCCAAATTAGTCAAAACCGGAACTAACAAACTAGCCCAAAAGTTCCAACGGAACTTATCAACCAGTCACAAAGTTCCATTTGGAGAATTGATGCAAAGTAAAAGCGCAACATATTATCTTTGAACCTTTTCAAAGGGGAACAAAAGTGTCTTATATACTGATCCTCATTCTTCCCCCTCTTCATTATTATGGTACTTAATTCGGTCAGAATGTTGCCTTCATAACGGAATAAGTTCTAATTTATTGTTATACATTAATCTGAAATTGATATTTTCAAAAGTACCCACATGAGGAGGGGGGGGGTATTCTTCCCTCTCTTGAGGGTACTATGAATACTAAATTTGCATGATAATGCAACTTATTCCGTTTGCTCGGAATAAAACAACTAGTTGGAAAGTTCCATCGGAACGAAATAACTAGTTGAAAAGTTCCGATGGAACAAAGTAACTGACGGAACATAGTGGCTGTTACATATGCATCTGGATTTATTTTAGAATTACCAAGCTAAGCAAGAGTTGTGTCCCTTGGTCTATCAATCTTAAGGTATTCGTTTGAGTCGAACTACGGGTATCTCAAAATATTTCTCTGGTCCGGCTGACTTTGAGATAACGAGAGTTGACTATCAAATTTTTTGTATTCAAACCACGTTTCTGCATTTAAAAAGCTTCAGGTTTGCTAAGATTAAAAAAATATAGTAGATCTAAGGATTTATGACGCATAACATTGACACAAAACTGAAAGCTTAAAGTTTTTTTGTAGAGCACCATGCCAGTAACAGCTGTGAAAGCACGTCAGATTTTTGACAGTCGTGGAAATCCAACAGTGGAAGTAGATTTAAAAACAGAAAAAGGTCTGTTCAAAATCTTAGTCAAAGATTTGATTGAATTGTTGTTTACATGTGAAAAGTTCTATTTTAGATTTTTTTTTTAAAGAAAGAAGAACTAAAAATTGTTTTCTTAACAAATTCAGTAGAAAAAAATTAATTAAAATCACATGTTGAAGTAATTATAGATTGTTCAATGTAATCTAATAATGTTAAAGTATAGGTAAGATAGTTGTAAAAAAAATTAGTATGATAGTCAATGAAACTGTTAACAAAACAAAAACAAGAAATGCTGTAAAAATAACATTCTTTGTATATACAGGTCATTGCTGTATGAATAATGTTTCTCTGTACATACAGGTCAGTTTAGGGCAGCAGTACCAAGTGGAGCATCAACTGGTATTTATGAAGCATTAGAACTGAGAGATAAAGATCCCAAGGCATATCATGGAAAGGGTAAGTTTAAACATTAACCAACAGTCCTGAAAGTCAGATATATATAGTAATTTTTTGTCTGGTTATAGGCATATTTGAAAAAAAAGAGGTAGAAGATAAGACATTCAAAACTCATAAGTCCAAGAGAAACTGACAACACCGTGGCAAAAAAAAAGAGACGAAACGAAAAACAATTCCACAAAACACTACATAGAAAACTAAAGACTGAGCAACATGAACCCCACCAACAAGTATATATGATTTGGACAAAATTAAAAATTTGACTGATCATTTGCATATCACTTAACTGGACCAAACCAATTTTTACTGGTCTCTGTCCAATGTCCGGCGACCTTGGGAATGACTGTGCTCCGCAAGGGTAAGCAGATCCTACTCCACATTTGGCACTAGTTGTTGTGCTTATGGTAAGTACAATTTCTGGAAGCATTTGTAACAAGTCAATAGATAATGTGAAAACAAATCATTTTTTTGCCAGATCATGCAGATGGGAATGTAACTTGAGCAAACAAATTAAGTGTTTGAACTGAGATCTAAACATCTATTGAAGTAGTTGTAATAAATATTGTCAATAGAAATGGTTAAAAACTTTATTGTAATGACAGTGTTTGGAATTAAGTTTAGTCAGGAAGCTTCCCATTTTAACTGAAGAACATCAAGAAGTCAATGACTGGTTGGCATTAAATTTTAATATAATGTCTTTGTAGTTTTTCTACAGGCTGATGTATGAGCGAACAGTACCTTATAAATCCAGTACAAGTAGAGAAATGATATTATTTCCACTGTATAACAGAACACATTCCTAATGCTACCTGTTTGTATTGATTGGTTTTTGTTGAGCTACTTGACTTATTTATAGATCAATGAACTTCCTTGTTGCATATTGGGTGAATTGTATGTAAGAAAATTGATTGTTTTGTATTTAATATTTTTAGGTGTATCTAAGGCAGTATCCAACATCAATGACATCATTGCACCAAAATTACTGGCTTCAGTAAGTAGAAGTTTTCTATAAAAATTGTTTCTAGATATACATTATCATACAGTTTACTGTGGGTTCATTATTATTCGTTGGATATGAATTTTCATGAATTTCAAGGTTATAAGTTAACCACAAATTTAAGTTTTCAACGAAATATATATTTTCTACAGGCTTGTATGCAAACTCTGGCAAAACCACAAAATCAAGTATCCACAAAAAATACAATTTTTCCTCAATCCACGAAAATCGGTACCCATAAAAAATAAATGAATTCACAGTATATAAAGATGATAAACTTTTGTGCCTATGATAAAATCAACATATCCTTGAAATTCTAAGAACTGTAGAGAATTTAATATGTTTGGACTTCGTTTACTTTAGACCTTTGATATCATTATGGATTTGAAATAGACCTTAGCTAATCCTCATACAACCAATTATCTGTGCTTGAAAATACATTGTCAGTTTCAAAAAAGGTTTTGTAGAATTTTGATTTGCTTCTACATCAAAAGAACACAATTTTTAAAAAGCAATTGATTATAATTTTTCTAAACAAATTTATAACTGAAAGTGTATCACCATAAAAATGACAAGAGCAGCAGATTTAAGAGTATACCTAGGGTTGATATAGGAATAATTAATTATTTTAACATTCTTCCAGGGATTAGATGAGTCAGACCAAACAGCTGTGGACCAATTTCTTCTTTCATTGGATGGAACAGAAAATAAAGGTATAGTTGGAAACAAAACGCCCTTCCAAATTTGTTCAAATGTTGGAAAAAGCATATTTTCCTGTTCATACTGATTGGCTTAATTTGTTTTTTTCTGGCTAAAATCAGTTAGTCTATAAGTTAATTAGGTGAGAACTTCCTTGTGTGTAAGATTTCATGTTGTCATTGATTTGGGTTTTTTTTTTTTGTTAGATTTGAAATTTAAATATAAAAAAGAAGATGTGGTATGATTACCAATGAGGCAACTCTCCACAAGAGACAAAATGACCAAAGTTCATTAATGATTATCAATAAAAAAAAACAGTTCAATATAAAACAAGAGATCAGCATTGTTTATAAATTTGTGTTTCAGATAAACTTGGTGCTAATGCTATCCTTGGTGTATCAATGGCAGTTTGCAGAGCTGGTGCAGCCAAAAAGGTATTTCATATAAGATAGAAACAATAATGTGTATTCTATATATGTAAATGTGCCAAACAAACAAACACAGAATACTCAAGTTACTATATCCATGCCTACTGTGTGAATGTATTTACTTTTTGAAATTTGCTGTTGTACCATTTGCATTATTTTTGTATTTCATTCCAACAACCCTGATGATTTTTCACAGGCAGGGGCTGTTAAGCCTGTTGCTAGCTTCAAAGATTAAATCTAGCAGTGATGTAGCTTTTTTCTGCTGAGACAGCAAACATCAATCAATCAATCATTTAAAAAATTAAATTAAATGTTGTGAAGGACCAATAACTGTAGAATCATATCATTAAGTTATGAAATACCTTTTGTATTTTTTATAGGGAGTACCTCTTTACAGACATATTGCTGATTTAGCAGGAAACAAGAACTTAATCCTCCCAGTCCCAGCATTCAATGTAATAAATGGTGGCAGTCATGCTGGAAACAAACTGGCCATGCAGGAATTTATGATTCTACCAACTGGTATGTATCTGTCTATAAAATACACACCTTTACCTATTTTATGTTTTTACCACTAGTTTTGTGTAATTTAATTAATTTTTGCATGTGATATATTTATCTTGTCTTTCTGTCTCTCTTTCCATCACGAAGTAGAAACCTATCACGTGATATATTTATCTTGTCTCTCTTTCTATCATGAGGTAGAAACCTATCACATGTGATATATTTATCTTGTCTCTCTTTCTATCATGTGGTAGAAACCTATCACATGTGATATATTTATATTGTCTCTCTTTCTATCATGAGGTAGAAACCTATCACATGTGATATATTTATCTTATCCCTCTTTCTATCATGGGGTAGAAACCTTCAATCATTTGTGATATATTTATCTTGTCTTGTCTCAATTATTCCATGACACATTTCTATATGAAGGAATATTTTATGTTTTTGTCAATATTGGTAGCTAGATGATATTTGATTTGAGAGATTTTCAAATCTGCCAATTCCTGTATCCCTTAAGATATAAATTTAACAGCCATTGAACATCAACTTTTGGTAACAGTTTTCTTAGTTTACATGAAAGCAAATCAGTTTTATATTTGATAAGGAGCTTAATAATGTTGAGTTTTATTGCAAAGGAAATTTTCAGATCAGCAAAAGAGGGTAGATGGGGTTTACATTTCAAGACACAGGATATGTGGTTTGATTGCCAATGAAGTAACCTAAAAGACACAGAGATTTTACTTTTATCAGTGAATATGAAAGCGTAGTACTTTTAGTTGGTACTTGAGGTTATGATGATTTTTGTCTCTAATGTTTAATTGAAGTACATTATATATATGCTAAGGTAATTTATTGAAGGAAAGTGATTTTGATAATGAAAACTCCCACTTGGCAAGTGGGACAAAGAATCTTATTTCTATTTATGTTTTTTTATTCAGGTGCTAAGTCTTTCACAGAAGCCATGAAAATGGGTTCAGAGACATACCATCATTTAAAAGCTGTCATCAAGAAAAAATATGGACAAGATGGTAAGATTCTGGGTGACCATTAATAAGATTTCTCTTCAATAAATGTAGAAGAGAAGGTGGTGATTGTTTGCTGTTAGGTCATTTGAATTTTTGGAAACTTTGCATTAAAAATATACAAAGGGCTGTTCCAAAATTAGTCATGGGGAGCAAGGGGAGGCACCAACATTAATTTATTGTTGGGGTGTTGCATTTTCCTAAGAATTTTGTAAGAAACTATAAAACGTATAGTAAATTTTATATTTTGGGTGGTTGTGGTCTTAAAAAAGTGCCTCTCATGCCCTCCTGCCTTTAAGTTAGAAACAGTCTTAATGTAATCATTGCAGCTAGGAACTAGAAGTGTTTGGAAATCACCTCAAATAAAAACAAAAACTTGTTTCTGTGATTCACTAAAAACTAAATCTAAATGAAAACTGTAATTGTGTACTGTTACTTGAATGTTGAGGATTTTCTATGGGATGTTTAAGTACATTGAAAAAAAAAATGAAAATTGAAAATTATTTGAAAAATTGAATACATTGTTGATTTTATTGGCTGAAACGTTTGTGTATAAAAAGGAATAGCAGCCATCATCCACCCACCTAACAGGAAAAGAAACAATATTTACTAGATAGTTTTGTACACAATACAAAAACGCCTTACAAAAACTAAAGACTGTAAATCATATTACAGAGATATATATATATGGTGGTCCTAAATGAAAAAAAGCTTACAATATTTATTGATTTTTGCTTGGTTATAAACTACAAATGTAATTGATAGCTTGCAGTTGAAATTCATATTGATAAAGCTTTTCATCTATTTTTTTCAGCCTGCAATGTAGGTGATGAAGGAGGTTTTGCACCAAACATCTTAGACAACATGGAAGGTTTAGATTTACTGGTTCAAGCTATAGAGACAGCAGGGTATACTGGAAAAATCAAGATCGGTATGGATGTAGCTGCCTCGGAATTCTGTAAAGATGGAAAATATGATTTAGACTTCAAAAACAAAAACTCTAATCCTAAAGATTATGTAAGTTTATTTTTGTGATATCAATAACTTTCCTTGAACTCCTTGCCTCTTCTTAATTTTAGATCAGTGATTTTTTTAGTACCGAGACAATCTTAGTACATACAGTAACAGTTCATATAAACACAAATGAAGTTGAGTAAAAATCAAATACACAGTAACCACACACTGATATGAAATAAAAGCTGTCATCTATGGCTGGTTAAGTTGAAAATGTATGAATAAGGAGATGTGCTATGATTGCCAATTTATACAGCTATCCACCAGGGTCTAAATGACATTGATTCAAGCAAATTAAGGTCACCTTAACCCTTTCACCGATAGCTGCCCAGACAGAAGCTACTCTGAGACGATGGCTTCCCTGGCTACTATTACTCAAGTGGGAGATCTTCATAATAAATGTCAATAAAAACTTGTCTGTAGTTATTTGTGTCTTTATTTCATTCACTAACACCATGTTCACAGTTTTGTTCATGTTTTGATAATTTTTTCTTCATAAAATATTCAAATTTTCAAATTTTCGGCATTATCTAGGTGAATTCTCAAAATTCTGCTCTTTGACCCAAAATTGTAATTTTTTAACCCAAAACGGCAAAATTTTGAAAATTTAATGAGGCTGTACAAAATCCTTACACAGAACGATGTCCATTCCAAGTGTTTTGTACATAAAACAACATTTTATGGATATTTTTGGATTGTGAATGAAAGTGTGGGGTAAACATCATTGAGATAGCAACCCAACTAATAAAAATAAATGTTAGACATCTAGAGGGCAACATAATATCTTTTATGGCAATTGTTGGATATTGTAACATTTTGGGAATCAAATTAATAATAAATGATATCAAATCAACTTTAATAAGAGTCCTCATAGTATACAAACAAGGACATAACATAAGCTTTATTGAGTTTTTATACAATATAAAATTAAGTTCAGGTTTAGGGGATGATTTGGGGACTTGTGACTGATATTCAATTGATGGTTACATTTTTTTCAACTTTTGAGGAATTGCAAGAAAAATCCTTCTATCATCACAATGAGAGTATTTTTATTTACAGTTGTCACCTGAAGCTTTAGGAGACTTGTACAAAGATATGGTAGCTAAATATCCAATCGTATCAATAGAAGATCCATTTGACCAAGATGATTGGTCAGCGTATACTTCACTAACTGGTGCCACTCCAATACAGATTGTAGGGTAAGGTTATAACCTCAAACATGTCAAAGTAGACATCATCACACTTCTGGGAAATATTTTTTGTACTCATGGCTATAAAAAAAATAAGGAAATGTGATATGATTACCAATGAGACCACCATCCAAATGACATGGATGTGAAGAAATATTATAGAAAAAAATGAATAATAAAAACTTGAGGTAGACAGCTCTCTCACAAGCAAAAAAACCCATAACTATAAAATATTAGGGCATATGATACACCACAAGCACATGGAGAAATTCTATTGCGAAAAATCCTGTAAACCCTGCTGATATTGTATTGTGTGTAAAATGATTCAGTAGGCCAGCAGCTTGTCACATTTACACAAATATTCCATCTTTATGCTTGTTCTTTCTTAGTCATCAGCCTTGTTAATAAAACATTTAAAAAAATTAAATGCTATACACATTGATTTAGCTGTTGTATAATAGGGCTGTTCCAGAACTAAAAACATTGGAGGCACTTTATTTAGATCCCAAATACCGTAATATGAAATTTGTCGTTTTATGTTTTAATCTTAGGAAAATGCAACCACTCACAATTAATTAATTGGAGTGCCTCCAATCCACCCACCACTATCAATTTCGGAACAGCCTTTACTTTTAAATGGTCAATTACAATATTGTTGATTTGGAATATGATTATTGTTTATTTGTTGATTACAGAGACGATTTGTTAGTCACTAATCCAAAGAGGGTACAGAAGGGAATTGACATCAAGGCTTGTAACTGTTTATTGCTGAAAGTAAACCAGATTGGTAGCATCACCGAAGCAATCCAGGCGTAAGTTGTCAAAAAATATGTTCACTGTATCAAATAAAAAACATAAAAAAAATGGGATTTTCTGGTTACCCAACAGACTTTTCGTTTTACATTGGAACAGGAGTAAGTATTTTTGTTGGTTGTACATTTATATGAAAAATTGATGATGTTTCCTATCTTGGACTTGTCTGTCACAATTTATGAAATTAGACTTAATACTGTATTTAGCTTTTCTTTATGCAATATTCTTGATTTGAGTGAGAAAACATTTAGGAGATAGTCTTGTTCTATAGAAGTAGATTTAAAGATTTCTTTAGAGAAAATACACTCAACCATCTATTATTTATTTTAAGTGTGTCCCGAACCCCATTAATTTTTGGAACAGCACAACACCAAACTAAATATAGCGATATTAAGGGCAAAATTAAAGACTTGAATGATTTTGTTTCATGTTGTGGTTAATATGGGTTTACTGAAGAACCATTTTTTATCCAGGTTTGAATCAGTTTTACACAACAATGAAACCAGATATTAAGATACAACTTCTATGTTAACTTTTATTATTATAGTTAATATTTTATTGTTCATTGTTTTTTTTAAATGCTGTTTATCTTTTATAGTTGGAAAATGTCTAAGGATGTAAGCTGGGGAGTAATGGTTTCCCACAGAAGTGGAGAAACAGAGGATACATTTATAGCAGATCTTGTAGTAGGATTGTGTACTGGACAGGTATTAAGTCTAAATATACATTTATTCATTTTGATCATTTTAGTATCAGAGTACCATGACACTATAACCTTTTACCTATCTTCTGAATTCTATCTGAAATGATTTTATCTAAAGGCTTTATAATTAAAATTGGTTTACTTGCTAGGAAACAAGATGATATTTAAAATTTGCTCTTTGCTATGATGGTATTTGATATTTTTTATATTCATTCAAGCATTAAAAGAAGGTCAGTTTGTAGGAATTAATCAATATTTTATGATGATTAGATGAATGCTTAAGCATTTTAATACTGATATTAGGATATATCATCATAAAAGTTAACCAAAGTCAGTCAAAGCTTTGACTTGATCAGGTTTAACTGTTTATATGGGTAATTTTCGGGTTGCTCTAAATGTAGTCCAATGAAAAGCTTCATGTACCTGTATATTTCACTTAGTATTTAATGATGGAACACAAACTTCAAAGGTTATTAGGTAAGTTAGTCCCACATTCTATAACATTTTAAAATGACAAAAATAGTTTCTTGAAATAGGCTGTCATGTTTAAATTGTGATTAACCGGTAATTGGGAATGTAGGGCTTTCTTCGATTCACTGTCACATGGGTAGAGTCAATTTACTGAAGGGTCCTGTGAAAAATTCTTTTAACATTCCATTGGGTTATTGATCACTCAGTTTGTGCTGATAGTGTGCATCTATCTGCAGGGTAGTTTTCAAGTGACAAAATGTACTTCAATAAAAAAAAAAAAAAAAAAACTTTAAAAATTACAGAAAACCAGTATTGAATAGCTTTTGTAACATCCTAAAAGTGTATCAAACTCATTATTTGTAAATGTAAACTGCTGCAACTCAACCTGACTTCTATAATTGCAGATTAAAACAGGAGCTCCGTGCAGATCTGAAAGATTAGCAAAATACAACCAGATCTTAAGAATTGAGGAAGAACTTGCAGGCAGTGCCACATATGCTGGTGAAAAATTCCGTTTCCCCTATTAAAGTATAGACTTGTTGTATCACTGTTTATATTGGTTATAAGTATTACTCAACTAGCATAAACTATTTTAAGCCACAGGCTTGTCGTATGTTTTTTACTAATTTTGTTATCATATTTTAATTTTTGTCGTCTTATGTTTCCGATTGCTAACTTGATCTCAGGTTTTGTTTTGTAATATTCCATTTAAAAAATTTACATTCAAAATTTGTTTCCTCCCTGCATTCAAGTAAAGTAAAATACAAATATAAAAATGAAAAGTTGTAATACAAATATAAAAATGAAAAGTGGTATCGGTTTGTTAGTGCCAGATTTAGTTTTTTCTTTGAGATTAATAAGTTTTTATTGCGATATTGGGGGAAACTTGAATATTTTCCTTTCTGCTTGTTGCTTTTTTTTTTTACCAATAGTCCACAAAGATTGCTCCGTTTAAACATACATGGCACCTGAGAAGGCTGTTTGGAATCAGAGTAAAGTGAAGGGAAAATACTTTTCACATTGAAATTGAATGTTCCTCCAATTTACAGAGCCCTCCTTAGGTACCATTTGTGTTTGAATAGGTCCATCCATACTAGGTAAATCCCAAGTTTTTTTATATAAGATTTTTCAAGTGCCCCAGTTTTTTCGTTTATTTTAGGGTTTGAGATCTGTTGTAAGGTATAGAAAGGCATTACTTCTTAGCATAATTTGATTTGAGATTTACATATTGTAATAAATAAACAATGTCTTGGCAGTCATAATGATTATATAAAAGTTAATTATTTTTTTCTTCAAATAACATGTTTCAGTAAGAATTCTTATATAAATCTGTAGTTAAGTCACTGGAAAAGTTGTTAAAATGGTCATTTGGTGCAGATAAAACACAAAAAGTTTGTGAAAATTATCTTTAATTACATTGTACAATGTAAATTTTGTGATACTTTTGTCTGTTTACAAGGTAGAAAGAGTGATTGATAGATTTTAAGTATGTTGTAAAATGTTGTATATAACATGTACATATTGATGTTACAATTTTTTTTTCTTTTTTGGCTTTTTGCCAACTCCAAGTACAAAACTAGTGCTAATTATTGGCCTTTGCCTTGACATAAATTGTCAGACAATGTGCTGGTCAACCAGATATAGTGAGAGGAAGTGAGATAGATTGATTGAAAGATGGGAGAGAGAGTGAGTTGATAATGGAAAAGAAGAGTGGTAGAGAGGGGATGAAAAAAGAGTGGTAGAGAGAGGGTGAAAAGACTCTTAATTGATCATTAAGATGTCATTTTGTACATACATGTATATATTTGTTACTTTTACTTTTAAGGATTTGGTATTTAGCCAATATCCATCACCACTTGGTAAGTGTTATGGTGAAATCGTGAGATATGTGCAGGTAATATGTATTTATATGAAGAGCGAGAGAGAGAGGGCGCAGAGGGAAACGACACTGATGCGGGGTTGTTGAAAATATGTAAATAAATATAAATGTATTTTAAATAGAGTAGACATACAGCTAGTCTGAACAAGATACACAGAGCATATGTGAAATAAGAGTGAGAGGTGTGAGCAAAGATGAGAAAGAGGTATATTTAGTTTTAGAAACTTGACCATTTAACACTAACAGAGGTCAAAGTATGTTAAAGTAGTATTAGTACATTACATGTACTTACTGACATCTTTGACTCATTAGAGTAGTCTATAGTCTAGAACCACACAAAAGTCATTAATAGTTCTTTTTTTTTTTTAGTTTCTTACTTTGTTAATTTTTATGTCCATTTATTTTCTTTTCTTTTGAAAAAAAAATTATAAAAAAATGTCAATGATAAAATGAAATTTAGGAACATAACGAGGAGAATATTTAGATGAACTATTCTATTCTTAAGTATGTGTGTAAATACTTCTCGCAAGACATTACAACAGCAATGATTCAAACTTGAAATAGAAACTATGTTGCTTTCACTTTCCAATTTTCACCAACTTAAAAAGAACTGTAAATAAATTTGATGTGGTTTTAATACTGTAAGAATGTATGAGATGAAAGTGATGCTTGATATGTTGATTGAATGAGGATGTTATTGTGTATGAAATGAAAGTGATACTTGGTATGCTGATTGAATGAGGATGTTATTGTGTATGAAATGAAAGTGATACTTGGTATGCTGATTGAATGAGGATGTTATTGTGTATGAGATGAAAGTGATACTTGGTATGCTGATTGAATGAGGATGTTATTATCCTTGTAATGTTTTGTCTCAATTATTAACATGTAGTGTTTTGTCTTAAATTTATTTGTTAAATGTATGGACCCCTTATTACTTACAAGTTTGTTATTTTGTTTATTTATGTTTAGCTAGGTTATGTGAAACTTACAGGTTAAAGGTGAAATCCAGTAAGATTTTGGATGGAAATTTGTTACATATACATGTATCTTTTATTTATTTGGTGTCTATGATAGAATTGAATGATTGTTGATTTACTTTTTATCTTTTTTTCCACAAGTTTATTCTCCCATCTTCTTTGCAAGAACAGTTCCAAGCACTTCTATCTAGGATTCAGATATCTTTGATGTCAATATTGCGATTTATCAGTTTACATTAAACATTTGTTATCTTTTATGACTGCACAAGACATTGTTTCTCAAATCTCAATAAAAACTAAGAAAATTATTCTTATGTTGTTTATCTGTTTCAAGGTTTTGTTCACTTTTCTAAATGACTATTGTTCCAAGAAAAATTGACAACACCATCACTAAAAAAAAAAAACAATTCACAAAACACTACTTGAGCAAGACTGACCCTACCAAAAGCCAGGGGAACTCAGGTGCTGTGGAAAGGTATGCAGTTCCTGCTTCATTAGTTTCATCTGTCGTATTGTTCATGCCAAGTAAGAATTTGGCAATGAATTCAAATTCAGTTTATGTCACAATCAACGAAAAAATGAAAGGGTCGTGGCTACAAGTGAAAATATCCAGGGGTCATCTGTGACACTTAATTCATAATTGTCAACAAAATCATAACATCTGAAACTTGCATAAGAATGACTTCAACATTACCGTTGGGAACCCTTTGTTTTATAGCTTGGTTTTAAGTAGAAACACTCTATCAAGGAAACTAAATTGGAAATACAAGCCGTGGAATATTGTATCAATAGCCATATTCAGGAGCTTCTGAAATGTTGCTACACAAAAATCCTTTATTTTAAGTTCAGCTGGATATATGTGATCAACAGTCACCATATTTTTGATTATTTTGTTTGCCTCAACCAAATGTTATGAAACTTATACACAATGCTTATTACCACAAAACACAGATCAAGTTTGAAATTGGGTGCCGTCACGATAACGGCTCTTGAGTTTTGCCCCTTCATAAACAAAAATTGATTATTCAATGAAAGGACAGCATCTTTATTGCACAATATGAAGTTAAAAGATAAATGAAATTTATCTTATACAAATTATTTGTAGATCATTGTTTTTATGCCCCCGCCGTAACGGAGGGGGCATTAAGTTTTACCCTTGTCTGTCTATTCGTCCGTACGTCCCAAAGTTGGTTTCCATTCTCTAACTTTAGTTTGCCTCAAACAAATGTTATGAAACTTATACACAAGGCTTATTACCATATAATTCAGATCAAGTTTGAAATTGGGTGGCATCACTTTTACTGTTCTTGAGTTATGCCCCTTTATAAACATAAAAATTGCTTAATTTTTGTTTTCCTTTCTCTAACTTTAGTTTGCCACAACCAAATGTAATGAAACTTATACACAATGCTTGTTACCCACAAAACTCAGATCAAGTACAAATTTGGGTAGTGTCACTTTTACCGTTTATGATATGCAAGCGGGGGCATCATCTGTGTCCCATGGACACATTCCACATTTATTTTTTTATCATTTTTGAAATTTAAAGTTTCTATCTATTATAGTTTTCAAGATAATAGGCAAAAATGCAAAACATTAGGAAAAAAATTGTCATTAAAGGGCAGTAACTTCAATAAGGTGTTGACAGATGATTTCGATCGTGTTGACTTATTTGTATATCTTGTCTTGATGATCACTTGTTATTTCAAGTTTATGTCTATTATAATTTGCAAGATAACAAGCAAAAATGAAAAATAATGGTAAAATTTGTCTACAAGGGCAATAACCCCTATGTAAAAGTCAATGGACAATGACGATGGATGCTAATTGATGACAAAAGCTCACACATGCCCTTGGATGCAGGTGTGCTCATAAAAATGAGGTCAATAAAAGAATTACCGGTAAAGATTAGGGATTTTTTGTCAAACTTTTTTTACATAAAATGATTTGACCCATCCTTCAACATTTTGAGTCTACTGTAATAAAGTTTTTGAGTGATTTACTCTCTATAAGACTGGTATATTTGGCTAGTCTGATTTGATATTACAAACGTTGCATTCCAAAAATATACAATGTAATTTGGTCAATGTCCAGTATTTAAACCTTTTAATTTGATACAGATATTAAATACGTAAAATCATTTTTTACCAACTGATATAAAAATAAGGAGATGTGGTAGTATTGCGAATGAGACAACTATCCACCAAAGTTCAAATAAATTGGATGTAAGCAATTATAGGAATCCGTATAGCCTTCAACATTGAGAAGATAACCCATACAGTATAGTCTGATATAAAAAGGCCCTGACATGAAAAATGTGAACAATTCAATTGAGATAAATTGCTTCGCCGAGCACAGCTGGATACGACCGCAGAGGTCCAACCCATGAACAGTTAGGGCAAAAATGGACGCAATATTCACGCTTGATACAGGTCTGAATTTGGATTGTATGATTTAGAACTTAGAATTGGTTATATGATTTGAATTTATATTCAATTTTTTGCTTTTGTGCAATACACTTTGCTGTTGCGAATTGACCCCCCCCCCCCCCCCCCCCCCCTCTCCCCCCACAAAAAAAAAATAAAAAATTTACCACCCCTTTTTTTTTTGCTTTTGTGCAATACACTATGCTGTTGCGTATTAACACCCCCCCCCCCCCCCCCCCCCACAAACACACACACACACTTTTTTTTAAATATATAAAAATATATGAAGAATTTTTTTTTTTAATTTCTGAAATCTGAAATGAGAAAAATTGATCCCCCACAATTCCTTTTAACCCCCCCCCCCCCCCCCCCCCCCCCCTTTTCCCTTTTTCCCCCAAAAAAATTCTTTCCCTCAAGATATGGTCATAATCTCAATTCAAATTTCCAATGTAGTTTGCAACCATAATTACCCATTTAAATTTACCATAGTGCTAACTTAATCTATTTTATAATAGAATTTAAAATATGGTGTCAAATCTTTCATATGGATTTAAAAAAAAAAAAAAAAAGATGCAACATTTGCAGATATTTTTACTGGTCTTCCTTTATAAATATGCATTTCTTTAAACATAATTTAAAAGCAGTGTAAGGGAGGTAATCAAAATGTTGTATTTGGATTACCTCCCTTACACTGCTTTTAAATTGTCTTAATTGTTCAGTAACTATTACTTTATACATAATTTAAAAGCAGTGTAAGTAAGGTGATTCAAATGATGTATTTGAATTACCTCCCTTACACTGCTTTAAATTATGTTTTGTACTAAAGTATTTGTCCATTAACCAGGACACCCTTGTTTTTCCCCCTTTTTTTGCCCCTAATTCCTAAACGGTTTGAGCCATAACCCCCCTAAGCAAATCCTAACCATCCCTTAAGCTTTATAATTTCAGAGAGATCCATACACCGTTCCACAAGTTATTGTCTGGAAACTAGAAAAATGCTTAATTTTGGCCCCTTTTTGGCCCCTAATTCCTTAACTGTTGGTACCATAACCCCCAAAATCAATCCCAACCTTCCTTTTGTGGTATTGAACATTATGGGAAAATTTCATAGAGATCCATTCACTTAAACTAAAGTTATTGTGTGAAAACCAATGCGTCTTCGGAAGACGACGATGACGACGACGCCAACGTCATACCAATATACGACCGCAAAAATTTTTTGCGGTCGTATAAAAACTAACAGCCTACTTTATAACAAAACAATTTAAGAAAAACAATTATGACAGACATGAACCAACGACAACCACTGAACTACAGGCTCCTGACTTAGGACAGCCACATAAAGAATGTGACCACATTTTTGAAGTTGCTGTTATACCTTTTGTTTTAGTTATCAATTCCTTCCACATAGAAAGAGGTAACAAGCAATTCCTGTGATGAACTTGTTTTTGAAGATATTAATATTTATTTTGATATGCTTTTCATATGAAATGTACGTATAACTGCAGTGCTATCATTAAGAAACCTGTAGATTTACAAATTAACAAAATTCTACTGTTACCAAAATCAAAATTTACAATAAATAAATGTATGAATCATACAAAATGATTATGTTTGCTTTACACAACCATTAGTAAAATCAAAGAAGGTTGATGAAGAGTACAATTAAGCTGTATGGGACTTAACCCTTCTGATATATTCCATTTTCTGATGAGAGGCTGATGACCATCAGCTGAAATTGATAGCAAAAGCTCATACAACAGAAGTTCTAACTGGCTATTTGACAGATTTGCTAAACATTAAGTGATATCTGCACTTGTTGAAAACCTTATAGTGACTGTGCAATGTGTTTATCTATACATCTTATGTTGTAAGTTGCATCTCCAATTTGTTATATATATCTTGTGTGTGGCTGTTTTTCTGCTCTTTGGTCAGGTTGTTGTCTCTTTGACACATTCCTGATTTCCATTCTCAATTTTATTGAGTGCCTGTCCAATTTGTTATATATATCTTGTGTTGTTGGGTGCCTATCCAATTTGTTATATATATCTTTGCCTGTCCAAGTTGTTATATAAATATCTTGTCTTGTTGGGTGCCTGTCCGATTTGTAATAGTTATCTTGTGTTGTTGGTTGCCTGTCCAATTTGTTATATGTATCTCATGTTGGTAGGTGCATGTCCAAGTTGTTATATTTTTCTTGTGTTGTTGGGTGCCTGTCGAATTTGTTATATAAATATCCTCCCTGTCCAAGTTGTTATATTTTTCTTGTGTTGTTGGTTGCCTGTCCAATTTGTTATATGTATCTTGTGTTGTTGGGTGCCTGACTAATTTGTTACATCTTGTGTTGTTGGGTGCCTGTCCAATTTGTATATGTATCTTGTGTTGTTGGGTGCCTGTCCAATTTGTTATATATATATCTTGTGTTGTTGGGTGCCTGTCCAATTTGTATATGTATCTTGTGTTGTTGGGTGCCTGTCCAATTTGTTATATATATCTTGTCGTGTTGGGTGTCTGTCCAATTTGATATATGTATCTTGTCTTGTTGGGTGATTGTCCAATTTGTTATATATATCTTGTTTTGTTGGGTGCCTGTTCAATTTGTTATATTTATCTTGTGTTGTTGGGTGCCTGTCCAATTTGTTATATATATATCTTGTTTTGTTGGGTGCCTGTCCAATTTGTTATATATATCTTTGCCTTTCCAAATTGTTATATAAATATCTTGTCTTGTTGGGTGCCTGTCCAATTTGTAATAGTTATCTTGTGTTGTTGGTTGCCTGTCCAATTTGTTATATGTATCTTGTGTTGTTGGGTGTCTGACCAATTTGTTATATCTTGTGTTGTTGGGTGCCTGTCCAATTTGTATATGTATCTTGTGTTGT